AATAACAACACTCTTCTTGATGAATAAGACAAGCGAAAATTTGTGTATGCATTAATTTCCCAGAAAATTTGTGTATGCGTAATTTCCCGAAAATCATTCTGAACCTGACGAAAAAAATATATTTCACTGTGTTTGTTATTAAATTCTTACAAACTTATCTACAATATATTTAGTTGGATTAGGCTAAATTAAATTGCGCTTGTTATAATTAGGTTAGGTAAGTTTTCTAATGTTCTTTTGGTACAAGTTATTAATTTTTTACATTAACACAAGAGAAAATTATATCTTTAAAGGTATAAGAGAAAAATTTAAAAGAGACTTAATTTTAAATGAGTTCATGCTAATTGACCAGTTTTACCTACTCGGCACGACACACACCACACACACAATATATATATATCTAATATAAATATAGCTATATATATATATATATAGATATAAATATATATATATATTAGATATATATATGTGTTACACACACACACGCTTCCACAGTTCGCAAAACAGGCGAATATTTTTTGCGGGGGACATTGTGAGGCCTGGTCGAGGACCTGGCGCGGGGGCGTTGATCACGGACATAACTCCAGGTAGACTCCATGAAGCCTACAGCAGGACTCCGAACCGAAAATCTGCATACTTGTGGAGAAATTGTCTCCAGGAGGGGGTATGAGCCCCCTTCAGCCCCTTCAGCCCTTTTCCACCCTGATGGCCCAGCCTCTCAAAGGGCAAGCGTCTTGTTTACTGCACAGCGAGTAATTGATCACAGATGACCGTAGCGAAGTATGCGACGTGGTCAAGTTGACCGCTGCTCCTTGCAGTGGCAGTCGTTGCAAAGTGTAGTTTAATAAGAGACATACATTCTCTACTTAGCAGACAATTCAGGAAAATCCTGCTCCCACTTATTACCATAGTAAAGTAGATGGACATTGTTGTTACTATGCTTAAGACAGCAAGAATCAACATTCTGCTTGACATTCATCGAGAAGTGGCAAGGAAGCAAAAAAAGTACTAGGCAGCTTTTTCTTTGTGCTAGGGATGACGGCAGGGGCGATGTGGCGTCTTCAGATTACTTTGACTCTAACTGAGCGACACCGACGCCAGGATAACAACAAGAAGCAACGATCTGTGCTTCTAGTGTAACACAGTGTCTCACAAAATACACAATCAAACACGTGAGAGAAGTGTGGATCAGCTTCTCTTGTGATTAAGATTGTGAACAATAAAGACACAATCTGTTGGAACATAGGTGTACCAGTGCGCGTTTCCTAGACAATGGAAGACGTGGACACCAAGGACACTTCAGCTTCTATCACGTCACCGCTACCTGTTCCCCCCCGAAGTGTTGAAGAACACATTGCTCACGCTACAAGAGCAAGGTATGTTACGAATTTCTTGTAGAATGGGGGACTGCGCAGTACTTGAGTCGCAAGGAGTTTGTAATCAACCTATAGTCGGCAGTAAGGTGTGGACTTTCGAGTCCAAACAAGTATGTATTTTGTCAGCCATCAGTGAATGAAATATGCTGACATAACACCCCCTAGGGGTAATTTATAATCTTACAAATTATAAATCTTTACAGCCCGTTGAAAGATGGTTTCGACAGCTTCTAGACCTCGTCTGCAGGGGCGGCTGTGTAGACGATTTGCTGTCTTTTATCAGCTAAGTGTTCACTATATTTATATTTATAAATTAAGCTTAGCTGGTAATGCCATTTCTCAACAGTACTTTACCATGGAGCAAGACCCCAGATAAGTATGGCGCCTAGTCAGAACATAAATACATATCATACATACATAAAGCAAGCAATCTATTGTGGCTTTGGGAGAGTATAGTGAAGAGCTCTGTTCCACAAGGCACAGTACTCGCCCCAATCCTGTTCCCCATCCTCATATCAGACAAAGATGTAATCCACAGCACCATATCATCCTTTGCAGACGATACTAGGATCTGCATGAGACTGTCATCTATTGATTACACGGTTAACCTCCAAGAAGATATAAACCAAGGTTTCCAATGGGCAACAGAAAGCAATATATAATGTTCAATGAGGACAAATTCCAACTACTCCGTTATGGAAAACTGGAGGAGATAATAACTAGAGCAGAGTATACTACAAACTCTGGCCATACAATAGAGTGGAAAAATAATGTAAGGGACCTGGAAGTAGTAATGTCTGAGGATCTCGCTTTCAAGGATGACAACAGTGCCACGATCACAAGTGCAAAGAAAATGATAGGATGGATAACGAGAACGTTCAAAACAAGAGATGCCAAGCCATGGATGATCCTTTTCAAATCACTTCTCTCTAGGCTGGAATACTGCTCTACGTTAACATCTCCGTTCAAAGCAGGTGAAATTGCAGATCTAGAGAGTGTACTGAGAACCTTTACTGCACATATAAGTTCTATCAAGCACCTGAACTACTGGGAACGCTTGGAAGCACTTGACTTGTACTCATTGGAACGCAGGAGAGAGATATATCATAATTTATACTTGTAAAATCCTAGAAGGAATGGTCCGAATCTGCACACAGAAATCACTCCCTACGAAAGTAAAAGACTGGACAGGTGATGCAAAATACCCCCAGCCCTGGCTGCCTTTAAGAGGGAGCTGGACAGATACCTAAATCAGTGCTGGATAAGCCGGGCTGTGGTTCGTACTTGGACTACGTGCGGCCAGCAATAACAGCCGGATTGATCAAGCCCTGATCCACCGGGAGGCCTGGTCGTGGACCGGGCCGCGGGGGCGTTGATCCCCGGAATAACCTCCAGGTAGACTCCAGGTAGCATCACTTTAGTATTGGCACTCTGTTCACTCACCACATGGAGAAGTGGCACCCTGCCCACTCACCACATGAAGTAGTGGCACTGTTGTACATTAAGGGTAAGTGGCCCGGTGGCCTGGTGGCTAAAGCTCCCGCTTCACACCGGGGGGCCCGGGTTCATTCCCGGCGGGTGGAACATTTCGACCTTTTTCCTTACCCCGTTGTCCGTTACCTAGAGCAAATGGGTACGGGTTTAGTCGATGGTGGGGTGCACCTGGGGGAAAGATTAAGGCCCCAAATGGAAATAAGTTAAAATCCTGATGACGCACTGACTTTTTTGGGTTATCTGGGTGGCAAACCCCTCCGGGGTTTAAAAAACCCGAAAAAATCTTTTTCTTACCCCCAGTCAATGCAGGGAAATTGGATTTTTGGTGTACAGGAACCTTTATGCACGTTTAAGTTCATCAAACCCCTTAAATTTGGGGAACCCCTCAAAGTATTTGATTGTACTCACGGAGGCAGGCGAGGGAGATCTAATCTACCTGGAAGATTCTGGAGGGAGGGTTCCTAATGTGCAGAGGGGAATCCTCCTACAAAACAAAGCTTGGGGGGATGCACATAAACCCAGTGAAAAGTGGGGGCAAGGGTACACAAGGAAAAAACAAAATAGAGGGGGGGCCCAAGGCTGTTCAACAGATTCCCCCAGCTATAAGGGGAAATTCCCCAATAGTCCCTGGTTGTCTTCAGAGGGAGCGGGGCAATACTTAACACGAGCTGGAACAGCGGGGGTGTGGTTGGTACGTTGATCGTGGGGCCAGCAATAACGCCCGTTAAAACAACCCTGATCCCTGGAGGCCCGGTCGTAGCCCCGGGGCCCGGGGGGGATTGATCCCGGATTTCCCCCCAGGTAGCTTCACGTAGGAAAACTCAGCCCCCCTCACCCCCTGGATGGCACCCTACCCCCTACCACATGGGGAGTGGACCTGCCACTCACCAAATGGTGGCACCCCTCCCAACCCCAATGTAGTGGCACCTGCCATCACAAAAAGGAGTGGCACCCTTCCCCCACTTTGGGGAGTGGACCCTGCCACTCAACATGGATAGTGGCACCTGCCCCTCACCACAGGATTGTGGCACCTTCCCATCCCACATGGGTAGTGGCACCTTTTCCCCCTCACCAAGGATTAGTGGCACCGCCCATCACCCAGGATTTGTGGACCCTGCCCATCAAACGGATTAGTGGCCCCTGCCCACCCCCAATGGGTTAGTGGACCTGCCACTCACCACATGGATTGTGGCACCCCGCCCACTCCCCACAGGTTTGTGGACCCCGCCCAATCACCCCAAAGGTTAGTGCAACCTGCCACTCCCACGGAGTAGTGGCACCTGCCCACTCAACACAGTAGTGGCGCTTGCCATCATCAATGGGCATGGGGCTTGCCCCCTTCACATGGGTGTGGCCCCTTTCACTCCAAGAAGTATTTGGGACCTGCCCACTCACACATAAATGTGGTACCCTGCCCCCCCCACCACATGGGTAGTGGCCCTTCCCCCCTCCCAAAGTGTGGCCCCTGCCCACTAAAACATGTAGTGGGCCCCCGCCCCCCTCCCAAAAATGTGGCCCCTGCCCCACACAAGAGTGTGGCACCTTTCCCCTCACCACAGGAGTAGTGGACCTTTCCCATCACCAAGCGAGGGCACCGCCCCTTACCCCCAAAGAGTATGACCTGCCCCCTCACCACATGGAGTAGTGCACCCTGCCACTCACCCATGGAGTAGTGCCCCTGCCCATCCCCCATGGGAAATGCCCCTGCCCCCCTCACCCATAAATATCCCCCCCCCCAAAAAAAAAATGGCACCCCCCCCCCCCCCCCCCCCCTGACTCAACTGGAGTAGGGAATGCCCTCCCCCAGGATATGACACCCTCCCATCAACATGGGTTACATGCCCCATTAATCGTCAGTCTCAGAGTTATAAAGGAAAATGCAAACAATCACCAAAGTCCCGGCGGGGAAATTTCCCAAAATTCCCCCTCAGCCCCCAAATTGCTGTAATATCTTACATATTATGTTTTGAAGAAACTGGGGAATTTTTTTTAGGTACAGGTACACATGATACAGTTACACAAATTACCGAAATACTAACTAGTGTAAATTACTAGGAAACCCCAAAAAATATGTAAGTGATTTATTTTCATTGGGGTTTGGGTATGAGTGATGGTGGGAATAGGTTTTACCTGTGGGAGCGGTACTGTGTAAAAGACACCAGAAAGAGTAGAACTATAAAGCACAAACTTTAACTCGTAGTTTTCACGGGAGACAAATTTTATAGCCCCCACAGATCCCAAGCAGGGCGGTCCACGCAAACTCCGGGTGTAGGAGCGAACGGGTCCCCACAGTGCACGAGGGGGGGGAAAACGGATAAAAAAGGGGGAAAAGGATCTATTTTGTTTTAGATTTCCCATGCGTCCTTAAAACAAAAACATCTCTTAAGGCTTTTCCCCGGGCCCTCTGCGAAGCGTATTGGATGCATCGGATTTTTGTTGTGGGATGGCCCGGCCCGGTGGTTCAGAGGGGTCACGAGGGCGGGGAATTACTGACCGATCCGGTTTCATGATGAAAAAACCTGTGGGGTCTTTGGGAGAAAATATATAAATATATAAAATATATATAATATATATATATAAAATATAAAATTTTAAAAAAATATTTTAAAATATAAATAATATAAAATTTTTTTAAATATATATATAATATATATAAAAAATATATTATAATATAAAATTTTTTATAAAATATATAATTTTTATTATAAAAATATATAAATATATATATTATATATATTTTTATATAATTTTATATATATAAAATAAAATATATATAAAAAAATATAAATATAAATATTAATAAATATAAAAATATTAAATATAATATATATATATATATATATATATAAAATTTAATATATATATAAATATAAATATAATAATATATAATTTATATTTTTTTTTTTTTATTACACACGGCCGTTCCACCAAGGAGGGGGCCCCCGAAAAAAAAACTTTCCCCAACTTCACTCCATACGTCTTGCCCGAAGGGGGCTTCACTAAGTTTTTTAAAATGCAACATTAAACCCTCCTCAGAGTGCAGGGATGTATTCCCCTCTCCCGGGGTCAAATCCGGCCTGCCGGTTTCCCTGAATCCCTTCATAAATGTTTTCTTTTCTCACACTCCAACAGCACGTCAAGTATTAAAAACCCTTTGCCCCCTTTACCCTACAAACACGCTCAGCAGCCCTGGAAGTCCCAAACCCCTCGCAAAAACCAAACCCCCCCTACCCCCCCCCCTAACCTTTCCAGGCCCACCCCTACCCCCCTTCCTTCCCCTCAGACGATACCTCTTGAATCACTCTGTTTTGCTCCATTCTCTCTACATGTCCGAAACCCCTCAAAACCCTTCCTACCCTCTGGCAACTTTTTTGGAATCCCCCCCTCCTCCCAAATTCCAAACACGAATTCTCTGCTTATATTCACACCCCCACATTGCCCCCAGACATGACATTCCCTGCCTCCAGCCTTTTCCTCGCTGCAACTTCATCACCCATGCTTTACACCATAAAAGGGGTTGGTAAAACTTACTCTCAAAAATTCCCCCCTTTTCCCCCAAGGGCAAAGTTCTTTTTCTCCACAGACTCCTAAGTGCACCACTCACCCTTTTCCCCTCATCAATTCTATGATTCACCTCATCTTTCATAGACCCATCCGCTGACACGTTCACTCCCAAATATCTGAATACATTCACTCCTCCATACTCTCTCCTCCAATCTGATATCCAATCTTTCATCACCTAATCTTTTTGTTATCCTCATTACCTTGCTCTTTCTGTATTCACTTTAATTTTCTTCTTTTGCACACCCTACCAAATTCATCCACCAATCTCTGCAACTTCTCTTCAGAATCTCCAAGAGCACAGTGTCAACAGCAAGAGCAACTGTGACAACTCCCCACTTTATGTGTGATTCTTTATCTTTTAACTCCACGCCTCTTGCCAAGACCCTCGCATTTACTTCTCTTACAACCCCATATATAAATATATTAAACAACCACGGTGACATCACACATCCTTGTCTAAGCCCTACTTTTACTGGGAAATAATTTCCCTCTTTCCTACATACTCTAACTTGAGCCTCACTATCCTCGTAAAAACTCTTCACTGCTTTCAGTAGCCTACCTCCTACACCATACACCTGCAACATCTGCCACATTGCCCCCTATCCACCCTGTCATACGCCTTTTCCAAATCCATAAATGCCACAAAGACCTCTTTTAGCCTTATCTAATACTGTTCACTTTATATGTTTCACTGTAAACACCTGGTCTACACACCCCCCTACCTTTCCTAAAGCCTCCTTGTTCATCTGCTATCCTATTCTCCGTCTTACTCTTAATTCTTTCAATAATAACTCTACCATATACTTTACCAGGTATACTGAACAGACTTATTCTCCTATAATTTTTGCACTCTCTTTTGTCCCCTTTGCCTTTATACAAAGGAACTATGCATGCTCTCTGCCAATCCCTAGGTACCTTACCCTCTTCCATACATTTATTAAATAATTGCACCAACCACTCCAAAACTATATCCCACTGCTTTTAACATTTCTATCTTTATCCATCAATCCCGGCTGCCTTACTCCCTTTCATTTTACCTACTACCTCACGAACTTTCCCCACACTCACAACTGGCTCTTCCTCGCTCCTAAAAGATGTTTTTCCTCCTTGCCCTATACACGAAATCACAGCTTCCCTATCTTCATCAAACATTTAACAATTCCTCAAAATATTCCCTCCATCTTCCCAATACCTCTAACTCTCCTTTTTAATAACTCTCCTCTCTATTTTTAAACTGACAAATCAATTTGTTCTCTAGGCTTCCTTAACTTGTTAATCTCACTCCAAAACTTTTTCTTATTTTCAACAAAATTTGTTGATAACATCTCACCCACTCTCTCATTTGCTCTCTTTTTACATTGCTTCACCACTCTCTTAACCTCTCTCTTTTTCTCCATATACTCTTCCCTCCTTGCATCACTTCTACTTTGTAAAAACTTCTCATATGCTACCTTTTTCTCCCTGGGATACAAGGAGAATAGAAGCATCAGGGAAGAGAGAGGTGAAGGTTTATAAACTAAAAGAGGAGGCAGTTAGGGTAAGATATAAACAGCTATTGGAGGATAGATGGGCTAATGAGAGCATAGGCAATGGGGTCGAAGAGGTATGGGGTAGGTTTAAAAAATGTAGTGTTAGAGTGTTTAGCAGAAGTTTGTGGTTACAGGAAAGTGGGTGCGGGAGGGAAGAGGAGCGATTGGTGGAATGATAATGTGAAGAATCTTAGAAAACTTACCTAACCTTATTATAACAAGAACAATTTATTTTAGCCTAACCCAACTAAATATATTTTAGATTTGTTTACAGTAATTTAATACTAAATAAACACAGTGAAATATATTTTTTTCGCTAGGTTCAGAATGATTTTGGTGAAATTATTGCATACACAAATTTTCACTTGTCCTATATGGCAAGATGAGCGTTGCTATTTAAGCCAAGATCGCAAGTTCTGTCAATTCGGCACGACATATATATATTTTATATATATATATATATTAATATATATTTTATATATATATATATAAATTTTATATATATATATATATATTTATATATAAAATATATATATAAATATATATATAAATATACATATAAATATATATATAAATATATATAAAATATATATATAAATATACTATAAATATATATATATAAATATATTTTTATTTTATTATATTTAAAATATATATTTTATATATAATATATGTGTATATATAATATTATATATTTTATAGATATATATTAAATATAATATATATAATTTAATATATATAAAATATATATATATAAAATATACATATATATATATATATATTTTAAAATATATATATATAAAATATAAAATATAAAATATATATAAATAATATAAATATTATATATATATATATATTTTAAATATAAATATATATATAAAAAATATATATAAATATACATATTATATATATATATATAAATATATATATAAATATATATATAAAAATACATTATATATAAATATATATATAAATATATATATAAATATAAATTTTATATAATATATATATAAATATATTATAAATATATATATATATATATATAATATAATATATATTAAATATATATTAATATATATATATATATATTTTATAAATATTATATATTATTAATATGCAAACAACCACTCTGAAAGAAAGAGAAATTCCAAGCGCTTTCGTGACTACTCACAGTATCAAGGAACTATGAAAGTGAAGCATCCAAGGAAGCATATAAGGGGTCGGCCAGCACCTCACTATCAGATCCACAACGGTTAAACACGTGACGCGCGGCGAGCCCAACTTGGATAGGTCCTTTGCAAAACTCACCCCCAAGCTATTTATTTGTCCAGTGTATTATTAAATTCTACCCAAATTCTATTAATTATAAATGGATCTAATTTATATAAACCAAAGGAAATATTCATATTATTGTCAAAACTGCTTTTATGAAACAAGATTCAATTATATTCCTGTCGACCATGGACTTGCTTGATACTACTTTCTCAACTTTTTGAAAATCAATTGGATGGTTTTAAAAACTCTTACAGAATAAATAGAGCATTGGGGAAACTTTTCCAGTTCTAATGCTATATTTATGTTGTTTTAATCTTAGTTCGAGATTTTTCCCAAAGTTTGACCGTAATAAACTTTATCGCAAATTTTACAAGGAATCTTATAGACACATCCATCAGCATTTTGGGGGGAATTCTTAATCAAAAGTTTTTTTACTGTATCAGATTTTTGAATACAACATTAATATTAAAAGTCTTAAGAAGAGAAGGCATATCACAAAGTTTTCATGGTAAGGGAAAAACCAAACATATTTTTAGTTAAATAAGGCGGGTTCCCCCTTTTTTGGTTTATAAAAAGTTTTCCCTAGCAACTTAAAAGATTTATCAATTACATTTCTTGGGTATTTTAAATCTTTTCCCTTTTCAAAAATTTTGGATATTTCCTCATCTATGAACTCAGGACTACAAATTCGTAAAGCTCTCAAAAACATTGATGAGAAAACAGACAGTTTGACTCTATCTTGATGCGAGGAATATAGTGATCTTATTTCATATATAATATATATATATATTATTATATATATATATATATATATATATATTATATAATTATA